ACTGAAAATGTGTGAGCAACATCAATTTTTACCATAAAAATTAGGCAAAAGTCACAGGCATGGCCATGGCAATGACGGCATGGGTGCAATTTAAAATTTCTAAAGAGTTAACAATCTTCACTAAATTAGTAAACGGTAGTTTGATATGAAATGTCATTTATATTGTGCAAGTTAACAACATACCTACCTTGAAATCATTTCTTGTGAGATCGATTCCACGAACGAAAGGTAGAACTGTACCACCTGATGCCATGACGTTCGAAAAATATTTATGCCCAATTACTAAGTTAGGCAGCTAATCAGATGACAGCATAATCCTGGATAACTTTTCTTTGCACTATATTTTGTCTTCTTATTATTAAGAAGCATTTAGCAAACGACGTTTCCACTTTCCAGCTAAAATTAGCCAACTGATACGTCTGGTAAAAATGGGTCATCCGAGAGTACGGAATGAAAAAATAATTATGTTTAGGTAGAAACGGAGAAATGCGGAATTGCAATTTAGAAGCACAAACATAAACAATTTATTGAACTTATTGGCAGGAATCTTGAGAGACATATGTTTCATGTGATGTTATATCAGTAATTATCTTTTCAAATAATAGAATGGTAACCAGAAAAAATTTTCTACACCGAATTATTTCGAGTGCACATACGTTTTACTGACACGCAGGAATTTAACCAACCATGAATTTAACTCTCTACCGCCTGTCTTGAGTAACCGGAGCAATTTTGTCACAATCCTACTTCCCAAAAATTATAGGGTGGCCTAGTGGTTACAGTTCAGAGTACCACGATTGGCGCAGAGAGGTGCGGGTTCGACCGTTCTGTGCGTCAGTTTCTGGTCAGAATCGGTAAGGCGGCCGGGCGGTTAAGCACAGCAGAATTGTAGCAATGAGTTGCGAGTTCGAGGCCGCAAAATGTTGTGAATGTTCTGCGATGTTAAGAATCGGCGACAGGCCTACGGCTCACTAAACGCTGAAACCATTATTTTTATTTATATGTTCTAGTGAGCGCTGCCGCCACGTACGACAACTTTAAAATGTTTTATGTTGCGACAACTTGGATGTTATGTTCCCGGAGAGTGACATACGGCGGTAGAGGGTAATAAGGAAAACGTCATGTAAATTTACCATGTCTTTATTTATAAAGCTTCGTGGACCAGCTCCATTATCAGTTAAAAAAGTAGATATAATTATAATCATCAGTGGAAATTCAAATGTACACAAATGAGTTTAAAGGCTGAGTACCAAGAAAATGACAGCGACACATGAAAACCTATCATATATGAAAACCTCCCTGATAGCATCGTTGATGCTCCGAGTATGAACGCCTTCAAAAACAGACTAGACGAAGCTATGCAGGAGCATATGTTCAGTCCTAAAATGTCTAGCAAATTACGGACCAGGCAACAAGTCCAGCAGCTATCTCAATCAATCGTCAGTTATGGAAAGATCAGGTTCCAAAGGCCGGATCCCTTGTGAATCAAGTCACGAAAAATTCAAGAATCGGCAACAGGCCATGGGCCTATTTCTTCAATGCCTACACTTCTATTCTATTCTATATACGATTTAATGAGTATAAGAATGTAGGCGTTAGCCAGACAAGGTTTCGAGGATTACATTATAATGCAGAAACAGGAGAAACAATAGATGTTCCCTGCTACTACTCATTGCACCGGAGAGCGTCAATCAGGGTGAATGTAACAGCAACTGTTTTCAAGGTTCAACCATCACACCCCATACATAACTCCTTGGATCATGGCAAGAAGTTGATAGAAGTTGAGAAATTCTCTCTATCCCGGTTGAGTGTCTTACCATAAGAGACCTTACTGCCGGTCTCTACTTTCTGTAGTCCATTTTAAACGACCACAGCAGTGAAGCGAAATTCCATCATGAATGAAGATTTCTGCGCTTCATCCTTCAGGATACGAAACGAACTGTGTTCAAAATCATATCTTTAAAGGCTCAAAAGCTTCCTTAACACTACCTTGCTTACTAAAATGGGTGTGAACTCCTTTTTCTCCCATTCTAATCCCGCTTCCACTCAGACACCACGAATCTTCTCCGAAAACCCGCTCTTTCAACGACTTCTTCGAAACTATGTATATGGACTGTCTGCCTGTTCCATCAGTGTAAGCTCTCGTTGAAGACGATTATTTTTTCTATTTTTAGCGCATTTTCTCATTTATGGAAAAAAGGCGATATTGTGCTCGTTATGTCCGTCCGTCTGTCCGTCCGTGACTTCACGTTTTCGTCGACGAGAAAATGCGCTCTCTGTCACTCAATGCAGTGAGTACTGAGTTATATTTATTTCTAAACAGAGCCTTCATGTTGATGGACTGCGTTCAGGAGTCTAGTCTTAATTGAGAAGAAAGAAGGTTCGTGTTTTTCGGTCTCCACAGACTGCCGAGATCCGGTCAGCTATAGCTCCATAAAGTCCTAACCGTTTACCGTGATGCATTCTCTTGGCTTCTCCCGATCTCGAGGGATCTTTCTCTCACCTTCTCTCCTTTTCCTCCGCTCTTACTGTGTAAGGAAATACGTCCCACTTTCTTATTTGAACTTTTTAAAATTTATTGCTACCTTCCTGGGAAAGGACACCATAATTTGCACTTTTTAGGAACCTTATCCCTTCACATCTTGTTTTCTCTATGAGAGACAATAACGTTTAGTTAGTTCCATTTTCGGCCTGCGTCTCGTCCTTTGCTCACACCATTTTCCGGATAACCTCACTCACGCATCCTGGGCCGTCCTGTATCATAAGATGGAATCCGGCACAAAATACAACACAATATGCGCCAATAAGCAAAAGAAGTTGCTTGAATACAAATATTCTTCAAATGAACGTACATATAATGAAAGAGAAATGAACTTTTGACGAATCTGCTCAACCATTCATCGAACATGTAAAATTCATATCGTACGGAGGAAGCGATATTTTACGCAAGAAAACTATTTTATTGATAAAGGAAAGTTAAAATATATTCATGTACGCGATAAAAAATATATATTTTACCAGCAGGTTAAATGTTAGAATCCCGTTATCCCGGTCAAAAAAATTAAATTACTGCATGCTAACGAATGTATGGGTACGCACACAGTGAAAGCAGGTTGCCAGCGTGCTGGTTACCTGCTCAGGCTGGCGCCTGAAACCATAGGGTACGCACGCAGTGAAAGCAGGTTTGCCCGCGCGGGCAACCTGTAATAGGCTTCTGTATTCTATGGTTTCAGGCGCCAGCCTTAGCAGGTAACCAACACGCTGGCAACCTGCTTTCACTGTGTGCGTACCCATAGAATACAGAAGCCTATTCGTACAGGTTTTCACTGTGAACACTTACATTATTATCCTATGTTTATTCTTGTGGCAGGTTGGAGCAGGTTGCCCGCGCTGGCAAACCTGCTTTCACTGAGTGCGTACCCCAAGGCCTATTCAAACCCACATTTTTACATAGAATATAAAACTATCATTTGGCTCTGGTTTCCTGGCATGGAAAAACTATTGTGTGTATTTAACTATTGTGTGTATTTCTATACCAATTCAGTAGTCTATTTTTTACATTTACATTCTTACATTTTTGATCCAATCCTTTCTTCTCAGTTGAGCAAAACCTTACTATTCTCTCACAGAGCGTGCATTTTCTGGTCAAGGTAATATCCCGACACGATGAGTAGTGCGGATTTGTGTCCTAACAACCTCTATAGATTTGTAATTCATGGCCACGTATACCTACACAATTAAACACTGATAAATATTTATATGATTCTAGATTATATTAAACCCAAACCTCTTACGAACTGCAAATACTTATTCGTTGCTTAAATTGCAGAGTATATTCATTACCGAATACGAACTTAAAACTTAAAGTGATTTTTGTTAAAAAATGTGATTTTGTTTTTGTCAGTTCTAAAGCAGAGCGTGTAATTAGAAAAGTAAACATTGTTAACTTACTGGGGCCGTACTATCAATACTTACTTAATTACAAGTAGTGACCTATATAAGTATACATATTGACCTAAGGCCATGTAGCCACCTACGTACACGATTAGGCCTATACTCATACGCACACGTTGCGACCCAGGGGCCGGATTATCAAAAAATCGCTAAGTACACGTAGCGACTTACGAGTGGCGTAAGTGCTGATATGAAGAAATAACTCTAGCGGTGGTATTATCAAAACATTTGCGCGGGAAGCTACGTACAAGAAGCCGTACGTAGCTTTACGCCTGCTCGGAGGTGTCGTAAGTGGAGTTACGTAGACGTTTTGAGTGTGCCGAAGCAATATAAAACTATTGATTTACTTGCAACACGGTGAATTGTGATAGACTTTTGTCAATAATTCAACATAGGCATAATATGTGATCGTGTTAAACGGTGCTTTTTGAGAAAAAAAATTCAATTGAGGTATGCCAGCTAATTTCTTTTCCTTTTGTGCTATAATTTGCAAGCAAATCTTGGTATTCGTATCTAAGAGTTTTATGATCATTCACTAAAATAATATCTTCGTGACTTTTTGATTCAAAACTAAGTGAAGTTTGACAAGCCAACCATTTTTCTAGCTACGTACACAAATTCTTTTCTTTCTCCGCTGATAGTTGAACTCCAACTCACATAATGTTCTAAATTTTAGGTAGCTCTCTAAAAAGTCCTCAAGTTTTGAATGGAAAAAATGTAATTTTTTGCCTTGATTGCAAAAAATTACAATCAAGGCGTTGTCATTGCTATTTAGACAACGTCTCACTCATTTCTCCATATGCTCCCTAGTCAGTCAACGCAGATCACGCTGACACAATACAACCTCCTTTCATCCACGCGCACCGCGTACTGAGTCTGAGTCGAGACTCTTATTAGTCGACAGGAGCTAGAATGGCAAATTCGAAGCCTCTGATTGGTCAGTTAGTTGGATGGTTTCGATAATACCTTTTCAGATGAGTCTTGCGTAAGACAGTTTTGTTAATGCCAAATTTTAACTGACTTAGGCAATACGTAACTTTTTGAACGTAAGTACGGAAAGTTACGTATACTTAGCGAAGTTTCGTTAATCTCTGCCCAGGTAAAAGTAGTTCCGGATTTCTAATCTGTAAATTGGTGGGCATAGCTCCAGAAACCCGATATAGTAATTTATTTAACTATTCAGCAATTGAATGACGGAGCTACAAACTCATCCATTTTTTGATAGTACGGCTCCTATGCAGGCCTTATCAAGGAGCAGCAGCTCTAAGGCTGCCGTACTCGCGCAGTCGCAGGGCATGGACAGCAATAAACCCGCTAGCATCAGTCGGGTCGTAGCCGCCATGTTCGTCCATGGAGACGAGACTGGTGTTGTACAGCGAGCATCCAGGGGCACCAACGCGCTGTACGACGTGTACTGCATACACAACAGTCATTAAACTCTAATTATTAACTCGGATGACAGTTCAACTTAAAACAGATTATTTGACAATAATACCGCATACATGCTGAACATTTATTTAACTTAAATTATGAACCAAGATAACAGTCAGATTTAGCCGAGATCGAAATAAATAATTTCAGTAATATAACACTATATAGCAGTCATTTAAGTGCGATCATTTATTGATAGCGAACAGTATGCACGCGGTACAGTCATTTAAATCAGATCATTAACTCAGATGACAGTCTGGTTAAACTCAAATAATTTGGTCATAATAAACGGAACGTACCTTTAACAACAGCCATTTGACTCAGATAACTATCATATTTAACTCATAACATTATAAATAGCATGCAGTAATTGACAGTATAAGTCATTCAAGTGCGATTATTTCATGATACGAAACAGTATGGTAACAGTAACAGTTCCGACTCACCGTTGCCTTTGTAGAGCTTGAGCCTGACGCTGCCAGTCACGTGAGTCTGCGACGCAGCGATGCATTGTCGCGTGTACTCACACTCGGGACTGTACCAGAGACCTGCACAGTCTTACTCATTGTCGCGTGTACTCACACTCGGGACTGTACCAGAGACCTGCACAGTCTTACTCCTGTCTCTTATACACATCTAGATGTGTATAAGAGACAGGTCTTACTCATTGTCTGGTGTACTCACACTCAGGACTGTACCAGAGACCTGTACAGTCTTACTCATTGTCGCGTGTACTCACACTCAGGACTGTACCAGAGACCTGCACAGTCTTACTCATTGTCGTCAGTCTTTCATTATGCAGTGTATGATTTCATCCTCTAAAATTCTATCATCAGGTCAGTTAATTCGTCATCAATCATCAATTATCATTAATTCGTCATCAATCATCATTAATCATCAGGTCAATTTATACGTCGTAAAAGCCAACTAAATAAATTATAATTACGGGGAAAATATATTCTTCAAATATAATTTTCATACAGGCAACACATATATATCTGAGAACAATTCCTTTCAACTCTCTGTAATATTTTACAAAAATGTAGTGGCCACTAATCTATTGTTGAAGTATCCTGTTCAGTTTTACACCTGAACGCATAAATATAATTCAAATATTCAGTGCATTTGACATAAATAATTATAAATGCGTATACTAGCCGTTATATATTTCATAAATACAATTAAAATATTCATGTTTTTGACAAATAAATATAAATGCATATACTAGCCGTTATATATTTCATAAATACAATTAAAATATTCAGTGTATTTGACATAAATAAATTTAAATGCGTATACTAGCCGTTATATATTTCATAAATACAATTAAAATATTCATGTGTTTGACATAAAATAAATATAAATGCGTATACTAGCCGTTATATATTTGCTGCGCGAGGACGTGCGCGAGATGCTCTTTGACATCCCGCACGCGCTTGTCCAGACACACGCTCTCCAGGTCGCCGTGCGCAGCGTGCAGCGCTGTCAAGCCTGGCGTCTCGTACACGCCGCGCGACTGTGGCATGATGTTACGGGCGTGATGTTACGGCATGATGTTACGGGCATGATGTTACGGGCATGATGTTACGGGCATGATGTTACGGGCATGATGTTATAAGCATGACGTTATGAGCATCAATGATATCACTCGTGACAGAAAGCCAGAATTAAACGCTTCCCTCTGACAAATATGAGATTAATTTGTCGTATTAAAATTATTATTCTATCTCATATCCATCTCGTGTCAGTAAAAACCTGTAAATTCTACTTTAATTTGAAAATACAATTCCTGATTTTAAGGAAAGTAACTTTAATTCGCTAAGCACATCGTATAAGGGGCTATAATTACCTAAACTCTGGTAGTTACCTTGAGTCCCAGAAACCTGTTCTCGACCATGTCCACTCTGCCGACGCCGTGCGCAGCCGCCGCGGTGTTCACTGCCGTGAACACTTCCAGTGATCCCTCCACTCGCGACCCGTCTTCCATTACTACAGATACTGGAATACCTGAATTAAAGAAATGATCCATTATCAATTATATTAATTTAAACAAAAAATTTTAAATTCGTTTACCATCGCAATAGAAACCGGAATAGCTGAATAAAAAAGACAATCGATTATTACCATAGATACACATACAAATAATTAGAGGTTTATTGATTATATTAGTTTTTAATCTTCCGATACTGCGCAATCTTCTTATTTTAGTACGGAATTTTGGGTATGAGTGGTGTATTAAAATTTATTGATAAAATTATAGTCTGTACATTAAAGGCCAACCTTCGGTCTAATTATACGTCACTCGGCCTCAATGTTATTCTTACCATGCGGCCTGCTGACCATATTTACATTCAGTACATAAAAGTTCAACCTTCGATTCAAGAATATTACATTAATCGGTCATTATTATTCGAACCAAGAGGCCCAATAACTAGAGTTACAGTCAGTACGCAAAGTAAGTATTTTTCATACCCATGAGCCTGATGACTACATATACCGTCACGACACAAAGGGGTAACTGGAGTACGTGCCTTTTTCAAAATTTATGGTGAGAAGCTGGGGTTTGTCCGGGGCCTTCTCTGGGTCTACGGTCATCTGACAGAGCCCTTCTGGCGCCGGACAGTTCGGGTCTTCCAAGATGCCAGACTCATAGCTGGATGTAGCATAAAATTCATTTAGCTTTATTATTTATTACTGATTTATAAAAAAACGAATCACATAATGTATGAACATTTCCTCTTAAATCCAAACAGAAGACTTTCATAGCTTAAACACAAAGGTCTCATTAATAGCCTCGAAATTTAGTCGAATTTTAATGCGTAACACCTTCCAATATGTTTACTTGGACGAACATTCATACCTGACATAAGATTCAATGACTGTAGCCATACCTGACATGACATTCACTGACTGTAGTCATACCTGACATGACATTCACTGACTGTAGTCATACCTGACGTGACATTCACTGACTGTAGTCATACCTGACATGACATTCACTGACTGTAGCCATACCTGACATGACATTCACTGACTGTAGTCATACCTGACATGACATTCACTGACTGTAGTCATACCTGACGTGACATTCACTGACTGTAGCCATACCTGACATGAATGATGTTGCCGTCGATGCTCCACGGAGATTTTGGAGTGACAGGCAGCGGGATGCCGTTTGCACGCGCGTAAGAGAACAGGTCTTGACGGCCCTGGAACCGTGCGCAAAACCCAGGGTCGCGCCACGGAGCTATCACCTGCACTTCAATATGGAAGTTTGGTAAACTTGGGTCATTAAAATTATGTTTAAATAAAGGTTGATCATTAAAATTATGGTTGAATAAAGGTAGATCATAAAAATTATAGTTTATTATATTTGGGTCATGAAAATTCTTATCGTTTCGTTAACTTGGGTCAAAAAAGGTTAAGTTTAGTAAACTTGGGCTATAAAAATTATTTTTTTTGTAAACTTGGACCATATAAATTATCGTTTTGTAAACTAGTGCCATAGAAATTATCTTTTTTGTAAACTGGTGCCATAAAAATTATCTTTTTGTAAACTTGGGCTATAAAAATTATCTTCTTTCAAACGTGGGTCATGAAAATTATGGTTTAGTAGTAAACGTATGTTATAAAAATAACATTAAGATTATGATTGACACACGAAAATTTAGGTTAAATTGTCACAAATTCAGAGTATCCTCAAAATGTGTTTTAAAGGCTGCATTCTTTGGGACATCTTACTTTGGAGCGATGCAGCTTGTCATGTACGATCTGCGTACATCGAACTATAATGTGTTTAATACAAATTAATTTTTTCGAATAGGGACAAAAATTGATTTATTTTATTATTCATGTTTGATGACCAAAATTTTCACGATAAACTATTTGTTTCGTCAGAAATTCTCTCTCGTTAATTAGAAAAACGCGATATTATTAAATGAAACCGAACTGTTGTGTCAAGACCTATGATATACTTCATTTCAGGGTATAATTTCGTGTTATAGATTCCGCGTTTCCGATGTAAATATGCGTTTTACATGTAAATTAACTTTTTGGCTATCAACCGTAACCTTTGGCCAGCAACCGTAACCTCTGGCCAGCAACCGTAACCTTTGGCCAGCGACCGTAACCTTTGGCCAGCAACCGTAACCTTTGCCAGCAACCGTAACCTTTGCCCAGCAACCGTAACCTTTGGCCAGCAACCGTAACCTTTGGCCAGCAACCGTAACCTCTGGCCAGCAACCGTAACCTTTGCCCAGCAACCGTAACCTTTGGCCAGCAACCGTAACCTTTGGCCAGCGACCGTAACCTCTGGCCAGCAACCGTAACCTTTGCCCAGCAACCGTAACCTTTGCCCAGCAACCGTAACCTTTGGCCTGCAACCGTAACCTTTGCCCTGCAACCGTAACCTTTGCCCTGCAACCGTAACCTTTGGCCAGCAACCGTAACCTTTGCCCTGCAACCGTAACCTTAGCGTTGGGCATGAGTGCAGCGCAGCCGAACTCGAAGCGGACTTGGTCGTTGCCTTTGCCAGTGGCGCCGTGAGCGATGAAGCCTATAACGTCAAAGTCATTTTAAATAAATACCATAAAACAAGTACATTTGACAAACAATTTAATACGAAATTCGCACAAATGAGCTAATACAGTTAAATTTTATTAGCCCCTTAATAGGGAATTTGCACAAAAATTATAAAATAAGAATATGTGACAAACTATTTAATACGGAATTCAAGCAAATACGATAATACAATTGCAGCTGATAAACCCCTTAATTAATATGAAATTTGCCCAAATATGATGAAATAAGTACATTTGATAAACAATTTGATACGGAATTCATGCTTTGTCAGGACACAATTTTTAACTAGATGCTCGATTATTTACCGCCAGCGATTTAAGTTTGTATTTTGAGAAAAAAAAATCATCGAAAAAGAGAAAGCGTTTCTTTAAAAAAAATTATGACACGGAGAGGGTTAAGCAGCAAAATGCTATGAACTATGAAAACGGTTGTATAGAAAACAATGTATATAGTTATAATTGTAAATTATATTCATATAAAATTCAAAATTCTACAAATTTCCAGACTAAATTGATATTATATAAGTAAATTATACAAGAAATTGGATTGGAAATATAATAAATATGAATAAATTTTCAAATAATTTAGATATATAAATAAATTATACAAAGATTGGATTGTAAATATAATAAAAATAAATAAATTTGGCGGTTTTTTACCAGCTTTATGTTTGCGAGCAGCTCTGACGAGTCCCCGGACGATGCAGGGACGAGCGAGGGACGTGCCAAGCAAATACTTGTCTTCGTACCTGCAGTTCCCTTGCACCGACACGAACGCGAAGTCTTCAACCAGCTCGCGTCGCAGGTCTTCGATGATTACCTTAAATAAATAATATAAAACTTGTCTTTAGGTATATAATTTAATGACGAATATTGTGTCAGTGATGTAGGTAATTATATTTAATGACATTATTTGCTCCTCCATCAGTACGAAGTCCTACACGAACTCGGGCTGTCAGTCTTCGAAAATTACCTCTAAGAAATAATATCCATTAAAATTGCATTTTGGTAGATTGTCTTTTATTGTAGGGTGTCAATAAAATGTACTTCTATTTAGTGGCATGCCTTTCATCCGTTATTAGGTCCTTGATAATTGCTTCGATCGTAAGGAAACATTTATATAATTTGTATTCTAGTAGATTTTCTAATCATTGTTTAGTGTCAGTAATTCAAATTGTAATTATAATTTTAACTGGCATTATGTGCTTCCTCGTCAATAAATTTTTTTATTAGCTCAAGCATAAGGTCATCGGGGATCAAATGATAGAAATAACTTTGCTTAAGTCTGATGCTATACGATCACTCTGCTGCATTGTTGCAGTTCATTTTACTGCCAGTTTGATAGGCGAAATCTTCATAAAGCATAATTCTCTATGAATGACATTTGACTAATGATATTTATTTCAAACTCCAGGCAAGTGGTAGAGTCAACATTAATTTCTTAACAAGATCTAGTTTCAGGTCCTCTAAAATTCCGATTAAAAATTAGTATTCTAAAAGTTCTAATTAAAACCCCCAATTTAAAAATGGACAATACAAAGTTTTGTCACCAGGCGCCATAATATATACATACACCGGCAAATGTCATATAATTCGATGATCCATTGAAAATTAATAAATTTAAACAGAGTAATTTACATTGAACAAATGACTGAACATGTTCTATTTAATAATTAAAACGATACAAATTTATGAAGCTGCTTAATTAATTAATCTAATATCAATAACGTGATTTTTAGATCTTCCGAGCAAAAAGTCATGTCTTATTACCTTTGCGAGCTAAATTGACTCGAGAATTTTCGAAACGAGAATTTATCAAAAAATGGAAGGTAAGTAAACTTGTAATAATTTTGAAAATTTTTGCCTGTTCAAATTAAGATTGTTTCATTCAAATTAATTAATTAATTAGATTTAATAATACTCATAATCCTCCAGAAAGCCACTAGCAACAAATTTAGTAGCCCCAAAACAGATCCGAAGTTAGCGCCGCCAATGACTAATAAAAGAATAAAGGCAACTTACGTCAACAGCTCCAAGCTTTTCTGCCTTAGCTCTGGCTTCTTCAAAGTCTTCATTTTGCCCAAGGTTGGCCTGTAGCGAAAAGCCGCAAAACGTTTCTTGTCAATCAAGCTTCATACTCACGGACTACATACTTATTAAGAATTATTTCATTGTGAGTAGCATAAAATAAGTTTATTCGCAGATTTCAAAGTAAACTACAAGTATGTCTACTTCATAGATTCTCTAACAAATTTAACATCAAATTTTGTCAATTGACTGATTTGACGCATTTTATCTAGCATTCAAGTTACATTCGAACGGTTTTCATATTCCAGGGTTTGAATTGTTGCGAGATGAAAATACGGAAGAACTGAAAGTTATTTGCGTTTGAGACAAATTTTGCTCAGAAAGAGCTTCTCGCAAATGCATCACGAAGTAGAGTGCGAGATCTCGAGTCTAATCAGTAACTTTCAACATTGCAATCTATAATTCGAAAATGGACTGAAAATTTACGAATGTCTCGTGTAAACGATTTTATATTGGATTTGTCTTAATTTCAGAAAATGACATTTGGTAAACAATCCGTAAGGAATTTTCCCAATTCTAAAATATCGTTTTATTATCAAGGACTTCAATAACCGAGCTCACCAAGTAAGCTATGACCGAGTAGCCCTGCTCCCTGAGCCACACGAGGATGCAAGATGTATCCAAGCCTCCCGAATACGCCAGCACGACCAACTGCTGCATTGAAACTTCCATTTCGTTCAAATAAAAACTAGAATAATGTCCAGCAACTTTTGATGCGCCTGCAAGGCTGCCGGGAATCTCTAAAAAAAGGTCGACTTTGTTCACAGAACGACGTTCAATGAAAATTGGCAGTGTAAAGTAATACTACTACATCCGATGGTAGAAAATTCAGTTTGCTTACGAGCACATGATCTCACGGTGTACGTGTGCCCAACGTTCAGCAGTTTTCAAAATATCCAAAGATTGTCACGAGTTCTACTAGCCGTTGACGCTAGTGTGTACAGTCTCCGTCAACCAGAATCTGAACTAAGCGATTCAAGCACACCACTGGATGGCGTCCTCTATTCGCTACCGATGCACGACTACTCTCGCGGTATCTGAGAACAGGCTGAACATATACGCAACCCGTCAAGGTTGTGAGACCTTATTAGTCTGGAGTGCGCACTCTCCAAGTTGCGAAACTTGATTCTGACCGAATGTTCTGCGATCATGGTTACAGCAGAAACTTTTTGCCCAAGCCAATAGTTCATTTATAATCCGAGTGATCTTATGAAGGGGAAGCCGATGGTGGTAGTTCAAGCAAGCTGTTAAAATTTAGACTTCCAGACTAAATTCGCTAACCACTCATGTTTTACCGAGCTCAAGGAAAAAAACAAAGTTTTTTAGCAATCTTATTCTGTTCCATCAACGCTAGACAAAATTAAAATTTAGTACAAGAAATCAGGAGCGCCGTAGCGCCTCTGGATCGGGACGGGACCACTGCGAGGCACGGAAGGAGTTCGAGTAGGGAAGAGGGTGCCTGCGTTTGCATCCACAATGACCGTGTTGGTAACTGTCTGAAATACAGTCTGAGTATCCGTCTCAGTGAAAATCCTTGTGCTCACCACGGTTGGTCTGAAGATCTCTCTGTAAGAAGAGAATCTATGTTTAATAACTGTTGCTTGTTCTAAGCTAGATTACTTAAAAGAACTTCCGTACAAAACCTACCGAAATTCTACCAATGAAGAAAATGGTTTTCCACATCAACTTATAAAGCAGATTGTTCCAGTTCAACAGAAACTCTGAACCACTCACGTCTGAACAACAGTGGACGTAATCGTCTGCTGACGGATATCGTGAGCCAAGTGGGTAACTAGGAAGGTGTCAGTTGAAATTTCGGTGGCGCACTGGAAGGACGACTGAGTATCAGTCACTGTTAAGAACTCTGTGCGGAACGCAGGAACGGTAGTGATGAAGACGTTATCATCGACGGGTGTCGTGACCACCTGGAATGAATGAAGACTTTAAAAATATGTACACGATACCAACACTTAAGCATTTCAGAAGTAACCTGTTAATTCGAGGTGCTGAATTAATCTTTCAGAAGTTCAGTGACGTTCAGTTGCAAGTCTTAAATCTGTTCTCTAGCAGTTCTAACCTGAACAGTCGGGCGGATGATCGTAGTCTTCACGAAGTCCGTAAGCGTTACAGGAATAGAGTTGTAAACTAGGTTAGTCACGGTGTGGAAAAAATCTAATGTGGTCTCTTGAGTGATAACCACTGGCTCTTGTGCAATGACAGGAACTGCTCGGGAGCCAGTAGGCGACCCACTGCCAACAACTCCGCCAGGAACACCTGCGCTACCAGGTAGACCCAAGGAAGTAGAGCTCTGGGAACCAGACGTAGAGGACCCATCCGAACCAGGAGATGCAGGGGAAGAGCGTGATTCTTCTTGACCGAAGCCAGACGCTCCTCCTGAAGTTGATCCTTGACCGAAGCCAGACGCTCCTCCTGAAGTTGATCCTTGACCGAAGCCAGACGCTCCGCCTGAAGTTGATCCTTGACCGAAGCCAGACGCTCCTCCTGAAGTTGATCCTTGACCGATGTCAGAAGGAGTGCCGTAGCGTTGCTGAAGCACATTGGGATCAGCCGCGACCTGAAATGTTGACAAGGACCTTTGAGAATATATCTCCTCAATGCTGAAAGGGAACCAGTTCATTAGAAGTCCCTTACAATGTGACGATGCTGACCAGGTAATACTTCAGATAATTGGTAGTTGGCAATAATCATAGTTACTTATATTAATAGATATGAAATTCACAACCCATTTACAAACTTATCATTTACGGCTTTGTGAAGAACTATCAGGAACCGTCGTGAAAACTCACCAGTGCAACGACAATCAGGCAGGCAAGAAGTACGCTTGAAGTCATGGCGATATAGATCCTGTTCATATAAAGGCAATTCAACAAAAGTTATGCTCCAACAGATAAAGTTCGAACGTCAAATATTATATAAGCCAATTAATCGCCAACAAATCGAGAGGCTCAATTCATACATTTTAGAAATTTCTCAAACAACTTTTGGCAGTTTAACGCGAAATTAGACTTCGAACAGGAGTTTCACGCATTAAAGAGCGATATTTTATGATATTCCATCAGACAATCGGAAACCCGGTATAACTTAAAGGCATGTATAATGACAAACAATATGCCTCCATCAGCCTCAACTAAGATTAGTAACGATATGAATTACAAGTTATAATACACTCAAACGAACGACATTATAACCAATTATCCACAATTGGCGTAATATTTCGGTCGAACAAGCTTCCTCACCTCAGCAGTGGCAAATCAATGGTTGTTCTCTGATGGAATGTTCTTGTCGAAGTGTTAGGCAGTGACCAGCGAAGTAATCTTAATTTTCTCGGAATAAGATATTTTTCTTCCACTGATGAATGGAAGAAGAGCAGAATGTCCGTCTCGAAAATTTCTCGAGAAAATTTCGCTGTCACGATCCAGTCCCTTTTTAACTGGAACTTGCACATTTTGGTTCCAGAACAATTAGTAATCAGAAGAATAGTAAGAATAGTAGTTCCATAGTAACGGGAATAGATATGGTAGTGCAATTTCAACAAAATATTAAAACACAATAAAAATTGGAGCTGGTCCTTAATGCAGTTCCAGTTTACGAGGATCAAGAATTGAAAGTAATTCACAAAAGAATATCTTGCCACCGAAACGTTTAAATATGGTCAAGGCTACATCATAGGGCCATTAATAAATATTTCAAATCTTTTCGATAGCAGTATACAAAATTTAAAATACGAAATTATACATCTACAGCAGATATACCGTAGGCAGAGCGGGGCAGCGCTACTTTGAAATGTAGCGGCCGCTACCGCTGCCGCTACATGCTCTAAATGTAGCGGGCGCTACCGCTACCCCCACTAGATTGCAGCGAGCGCTACCGCTACCCCTACAGTAAAATGTAGCACCGCTACATCAGCCGCTACAATGGCCAAAATTATTGGAAATCTCTAAATATTTATTGTTCTGCTATTGGGATTTACTCATAAACATTTAATGATAATAAAACATTTTCAAAACATATCAATGCAACTTTATTGCAATTAACCTAACCGAACTACCTAGTACGGTACGGGTTAGATACAGTAAATAGAAGTTACAGTTATTTTTATGTTTTACCTTCCCTAAATGGATGTCTACTTTAATCTACCAATCTCAAAAATTATCCACACATACATACACAAAAATCAGTCTTTTATTTGTATATATACTGTATGTGGATTATTTTTGAGATTGGTAGATTAAAGTGGACATGCATGAAGGGAAGGTGAAACATAAAAATAGCTGTGTAAAAATAACGGTAAGCAAACTGAAACATGAAAAAATATCAGTAAGTGGTAACTGGTAACAACTTAACAAGTAACAACTAACATGTTGACACTAGTAACACTAACAGGCTGAGGTTGACATTTCACCGAAATCTTTCGTACAGTTTTATTCTGTAATTTATATTATGTATGTAATTCATGCTGGTTTTTAAATAATATTTTATACTATTAAGTAAAATCTAAAGGCTTTGTCTATAAATGTAGCGGTAGCGCTGTAGCGGCATAACCTCGTATCGCTACTTAAATATGTAGCGGGCGCTACCGCTACCGCTACATTGCCTTTAAATGAAGCACCGCTACCGCTACATGTAGCGCGCTACTGCCCACCTCTGACCGTAGGCCATGCGATGAAGAGGCATACTAAGAATCGTTCTAATTATTCATGACAAGTATGGTATTGTGTATTTTAGACCAAACAATAGAAGTCACCTTAATTCATCTATTTACAGTGAACATTTTTCGCCAGAGCCAGAACTGCTGATCATTGCGGATTAACTGACGGATTAGAGAGCCATTGCACCTCTTTTGTGAGGGAGTCTGAACCTGCTTCTATTCATCTGTACTTCATTTTCATCTTCTGTATCGTTTTCTATTCACAACCTTTTGGTTCACTTTCTTTCTTCCTAACCTTGTATAACTCTTAGCATCATACACCGACGTAAAATGAGCAAGAGTTGCGTGGTGGTAGCCGTTACATTACAAAGGTATGACACAGGAACTTCTCTCAGGTATCACGCCCCAAAACTTAATCAAATCCTCTTCACACAATTACAATATGAAGTTTTCGAGAGCAATACAGAATATCCCTCTCATAACACTAATTAAGACAAAAAATAAAACTATAATATTTTGTAGACAAAACCTAGGACTATTTATTTTATTTACGTAACTTAAGAATTGCCGAACATGTACGAATATTATTTAACTCGTAAATCAAATGCGATCATGGCTCATGAAAGCAACTTCTTTAATTTAAGTACAGTTTTATTTTGTTCAGTCAGACATTGTCACCGCCAAATGGATTTCAAGAAGCTGGTAGTAGTAAACTTTCGTTTTTTCGCAGCTCACTCTCGGTATCACTTGGCGCGTTAGGAGATCCATCGCAATACAAGCAGCCGAGATCATTGCTCAGTCACAGTCAGTATTCGTGTGACCGTGTTCGGGGCAGGTGGTTGCAGCGCCAATTTCGTGGGATATATCTATTCAATACCTTCATTTCTAGTTTGATCTGTAATTGATGACGGGCAGTATTTTGGTCATATACGTTAAATGCTATTGTGAATCTTGCAAAAAATTAGCATTTGTTCCGAAAGTGTAATTTGTTGTGCAAACACACACTTGATTGGTGCCAAGTTGAAGACAGTGTGCCCATAGTATTATATATAGACTGAATTAGCATACTCACAAGTTTCAGGATTAAAACGAAATTTATCCTTCTCCACGGATTTCCTTGTTTGGTGATCTGTATTGCTGGAAACTATCTAGGTTTGTTCCAGCGTTCCTTACCATTTTTTCGTCCGAATAAAACTGAATCGGCTTGAAACTGGTATCGTAACATTAGAGCATTTCAAGGCTCGTGTAAGACTAGGCTACTAGGCTAGCTATTTGTAATTGTTATCTTCCTTGTTGGCTGCATGTTTCCTCTACGTCGTTTGGGTAGAATACGATTAATCGTTATCCTGCGGGTGACGGTAGAATATTATTGATGCAAATGCCGTAAACGACTCTTGTGAAGTTGTGGCTGTGCCTGTGAATCGAAACTTTTTCTTTAAGTCAACGACGCGGTCGACGCCCTACAATTTTACTAACGATTTATCTTAAAAATTTTGAACGAAATTGAAGAGAAACTTTTTGAAGTTTTTGTTGAGATTCTGAATGTTTCGAAGCTACCCTGTTATTCAGACATGAATTGCATTGTACATGATCGCGTCTGGTTTCATTTAGATTGTGTTGATTAAATGCAGCGGCGACTCTTGTGCCATTGACGTTTATTTGATAGGTAGCGACTTAGCGTACTGATTTGCTTCCGTATTCAGTTCATACTTGATTTACAGAGATCCGTTGAAAATGTGAAACTTAGTTAACACGTCATTCTTTATATATATATTTCTTCAGATTTCAGCACCACTGCACTTGAGAATTGACCTGTTGGAAACGTTTTAGTTAGAATTCTGTAAAATCTTCGCTCATTTTCTCATAAATAGGCTAATAGAAAGAACTTTCATCGTATGAGTTGCCATATCATGCGACCGCAGTTTGAAAAGTTGAACAATTATGTTTTTAGATAAGTTAATTATCGTGATATTTCTGACGATTTCTGCCTGAAAAGGCCGAACTGAAGAGGCTTTTCAGTTTTTTCCTAGCCAAGCGGGAGCTCTGTAGCTCGTCATACCTTGTCACTCAATGACACTCATAATTAACCAGTCTATATAAGTAGGACATAAATTTGAAGGTGAAACGTTGTGATTATTGCAATTTTAATTACATTATTTCGGAGCTCCCAATTAACCGAATTTAGCGTCTGAAAAGATGGCCGTCACTAAATAAATAAATAAATCGTCAAAAATCCCGAGTGAAATAGGGACAAAGTACGCAGTAAAAATTCAACCATTTTACTGTTAATTTTATTCAGGAGTACTCCAGATATCTACATAAATTGTTTTTCTGTCCATATTAGTCTAATTACGTTGACCTGCAAGGCTGCAGCTGCAACCAATCCACGAAGATCAGCACTCGTTAGTTGCAGATTAGGCTGCGGTTTTCGTTGTTTGCTCGCTTGATCTAGAGAGGTAAAACATTCTTACGATTAGAAGACAGTAAATTCTCGATGATTCGAAGATCAGGAACAATGGCAGTATAATTACAAGAAGCGGCATGGTGACAAATATACTTCCGGCTGACAGAGCCATCATCATTATAACGATAGGGCTGAGCAGCAGGAGCATCGTTACGACACGTGTCCATACCCAGACTCGCAGCAAATATAGACGTCTCATCGCAATTCCCGCCACAAGTATCATTGTTATGAACATTTCTATAACTGCTGCACAGAGCTAGCTTATCTCGCCAGCGTACCAGACCGGTGATCGTGGGTCCAGAGAAAAAGGCCCCAGAGTGAGACCCAAGATTGCGAGGGTTAGGGAGAGAAGCGCGTGTATCAACTCAGTAGCAGCAATCGCCCAACACGTGCCGTACCATTTATCAGTTGCTATTTTCTTGCCGAGCTTCCACCGAATCCGCATGTCTTCTTGCTCCACTGCCACCTGAAGCAATTACCCTTCAACGACAGCCGTTACGTTAGTGATTTTCCCCATAGTTGTGTTCGGATTCGAGTAATCGAATTTTAAGCATCGCTCTATATGTTAGCGGATTTCATTTTCTGTTTGTTTCTTCTTCTAATCTTACGGCCCAACGTCTGCCGTGTAATAAAAAGCGGTGAAGGTAATCTGGATACCTACAATAGAATACCTAGTCAATAGAACATAGTTCCATCGCTTCACTCATAAGCCACGTGAAACCTAGTCCAATTTCGTGCATTAGCTACCGCAATATTCGGGTTATGTTGAACCACATAGTCTACTAACGGTAAATTTGGTCATCAGTCCTACTTCTCTAGATGCAAATAGAATTGATGACGGTCATCTAGCTGGTGACAAACGGTTAAAAGAACATGTTAGTGAATTGATAGCATTCTGAGTGAGAAATTAGTGTCAGCGGTGTTTGTGCGTGAGCGTGCGTAGTGTTGGTGCGGGGTAGGATGTGTGGGAAGTTGGTGCGTGAAGTCTGTCACGTATCCAGCTCGCCACACGTACTGCCTAACCTGGGCTTGGTTTGCACGCGCCAAAATTAAATCCGATTCGATCGACATTTGATCCGTTGATATGACCGTTATTGATAATATTATTTCCCACTGTTTGTTGGTGAGGCTAAAACCTTTTTCTCACACGCGTGTAGTGTAAATGAACCTTGAGTTAGCATAAATTGAAATTATAATTCACGTTCGCTGAGAAGTGAGAGTAAACGATAGTTTTTGCCTTTGAACGGTGTAAAGAATAGCCAGCCTCTAATAAATTGTCTTAATCTAAATTGTTTGCGCTATCCATTATTTACTTGTTCCATCTCACACGTCGCATCGGCATCACCCAAAATGAACATTACTTTGATTTATTATCAACCGACAACCTGAATGATCCATCGTTCAGTAGATGATTGATAGTCAAAGCGGTGTCCATGGATTATCATTCATGCTAATATTTGCTGGGATGATAGATAGAAAGAGCGGGAGTGGGGGGAGCTTGGGGCGTTAGGTATATGAAGAAGAGGGGGTGGGGGAGGAGTAAGGTCCGAGGTGGGCGGGGGAGAGGCGGGAAGCGCCGCGCCGAGGAGAGGTCGCGTCTGAGGCGGCGTCTGTGTGGCGCCAGTCGCTCATGGCTGCCTCTTGACTGTCAGACGGTGGTGCAGTGCACAGCTGTGATGATGCAGTGCTGCCAGTGCACTGCTGTGGTGGTGCAGTGCACCACTGTGGTGGTGCACTGCACTGCTGTGGTACAGTGAACTGCCGTGGTGATACGGTCTAACGTTATGGTGATGGAGTGCACCGCCGTGTTGATACTGTGCACCGACATAATGGTGCAGCGCATGGTTTAATGGTGCTGTGCACCGCCTGTCAACTATAATAGTGCAGTTATGACTTATGGTAAAGTGTGACGACATAATAGTGCAGTTATGGTGAACAAGTTGTGGTAATGTAACGCTTTGCCTTTACGGTGCTGCTGTTGACTGCTGAAGTACATGCAGCTGTGGGGTGTTATACTCTTCACATTGGCAGTCACGGTATTTTTTTGTGGTGGTACATTCCACCTTAATTGTGACCACCTCAAAAGTAATGGTGCATCCACGGGTGCAGTAATGGTGTGCAAGTATCTTGATTGCTCTATTAATGGTGAAGTATTTATATGTAATAGTACTATGCCAACTGTGATTTGCCTGCGCACTAACCCAATTCAACGCATTTTGGATTCTCGACTAATTATATATTTTTTTGCAATGGTCTGCCTTCATAACTTTTTCCAATTTCACGTGCATTCCAAACTTAATATCATGACACATACCAGTTATTTTTGCAGGCATTTTGTTCTATAGAAATTAGTGTGTTAATGATTGGAAGATTTTAGATGTTTTCTTCTCAAGTATCGATCATTTACTCGATGTATATGTATATTTGACAGTTCTGTTTACATGACCCCGCTATCGGCGTAAGAAATTACTTTTATTCTGCCAAGTGTGCAATGATATCCTGGGTGTTCAGTGTGCGCTTAACTTAAAAACTTTCGTGGAACGTTCAGTGGCTCGGTGCTGTCACAGATAACATTACGTTACGGTGAACGGATCAGAATCTGGCTATAAGCTTCTCTTCGCAAATATCTCCATCGTGAAGAAATTATTTTTGTCAATTATCTACACGATTGTCGTCACAACGGATCCCTGCAGCTCCCGTCTCTCTCACCTCTGCTGCTGCCACCGCCTAACCTCGGAAGCCTTTGACCTGAACACTTCCAGCAGCAGCAGTGAAGATAACTCGCAGCCTTTTCATCAGAACCAACGGAGAAACTCCCGTAAAAGGCCAATAGAAGCATCCTCGCCAGATGCCAAGTTGACCGTTGAATCCTGTGAAAACCCGGAGATTCCGTTGGGATCTCCAGCCATACGTGAAAAAGCGCCCGCGACTGGACCCTACACGACGGGGAACGTAGAAAGCAATCATCAGAACACTGGTAGACTTCGTCGGCTGACGCGTCAGTGCAGCAATAACAACAATTGCACTTCCGAAGCTGGGCCTTCGACTGTCGTCTGTGAAGGTCTGGTATCATGTGGGTCCAAGTCTGGGCCGCCATGCCGCTCATTCATGTTGGGCTGTAGAAAGAAATCCCTGATCAGGAAAGCCTGGCGGAGGCGCGTCAAGCCGCCGGAAGCCCCAAGATGTTTGTCTCAAAATACAGCAACGGCGGCCAACTGTACAGCACAGCAAGGAAACAGCACAGCGTTTGCCGTTCAAATCCAGTCACAAAATGGGATTCCAAGTGGACCATCCCTGCACACCATCTTAGGAAACCAGTCAGCTCTCAAAACCAGTGCCTTGTCCATACTGAACCAGTTGAAGGTTTCGGAGCTGGAGAGTCTGAACGCCGCCTTGGAGGCGGGAGGCGCGGGTCCATGCGTTTTGGTGCCAAACCGAGACGTGCTCGTTGGAGGCGTTGCACCCTTGTCGCCGGCCTTCCTGAGTCTGGCGGTCTGGCGGTGGCCAGATTTACCTCTCGACGCAACATTGAGACCCGTTCCACCCTGCACACCAGATCTTACTCAAGCCTGCATCAACCCCTATCATTCTGCCATCTGCTGCGCCACTCAATCAGGTAAGAATTGATATCATTTGTGACTGAGTTTATTTTCTCGTCTCTTTGCTTGGGGATAAATGTCTTGCCCCCAGTCATTGTTTTCATTTTTTTTTTGCCTGAGTGACGAATGTCTTTGTCTAATCTTTGCTGGACGAATGAACATGAATAGATCTCTTGGTGTGTATGTATATGTTATCAAGGAAATTTTTCACGTGTTCGCAGCTTTATGTAATCTAGCAGAACGGCAAGTAAGTAACTAAGTATTCGTAATAATTCAAGTTTACGGGTAACTTCTTTTTTTATGCTACTCTATCTGTCGTAACAAGCATATTGTAACTGAAATTACGTTCGAGGTCTCGTAACAAAAAAACGATAATTGAAAAATATTATGGGACAGCTTTGCTGTCTAACAGCTTTGCAGCACTGTGTCATAGTCCAATTTATATTCATGCTGTAAATTTTTAGCTAGAATTCCATTTACAATGCTGCGAAAATTTAAAATTTTGCACTAGAATTCCAATTACAATGCTGCGAAAATTTAAAATTTTGCATTGCTCTTTAGCGACAAATCGGAGAAACAACTGAATCATTTCTCTCATGAAAATGTTTTTTAACCATGCATTGGGCAATTCTTGCCCAATGCATGGGCGTTAAGAGGCATGCATCTTGCCTCTCAACGTTCTCGTGTGAAAAACTAAATCATTTATAGAATAAAAAGTGGAACGGATAAATGTAAAAAACATCTTTTGCCGGTCAAGTTGCAAGGCACCCAAATCATTGCAATCAATCTGTCTCGAGCAGCGTAACTCCATTTAGAGGAAAAACACAATTTAGCGTCGCTTGCAGGAGGCATGCTGTGTTTTTTCAAGTGATTGGGCAGTAAAGAATTAAGAGCGGAAGCTTATGGTGTTGGCGTAAGGGGTCCAGCTGATGTCTTATTGATCTTCCGCTGCTGTATTGTGTCTCACCTCCCCAACCTGCTACCGCTTTTCCAGGGATCACTGAGGTCGCGTGGTCCCCTTGTGGGTGCAATATCCCCCCTTCGACCGAGTTTTTAAGGCTTGTACTTCTCTGTACCATAGTCTATATCTTGATAGAATTCTATTATTTGGAGTGCACCGGATTCTCTTTATAGTGACGTTATTTCTTGGGCAATAGTGCCGACTTTAATCGTTTTGTTTTCATCGAGCATTCGAATTCTATTGTATTTATTAAATTTATATAAGGAGCCTGCAACGCCGTAAAAGTATGAAACTTGGTATTTTTTTTACAGAAACAGAAAGAAAATTTCAGAGAAAATTTCTCAGCTGGGCTGAGTAACCTACATCATTTTACTACCTCAATAAAGTTTCTTGAAATAGAAAAAATGTTAAAACATGTTTTCTTGTACTTGAAAATGTGTGATGCAAAATGATATTCCGGGTTACTCTCGACTCCATGAATAGAAATGATGCAATTTTAAATGTTCGTACGACGAGTGTGACTGCACATGCCAAGAGATTGTTGTGTCATTTCACGTGTCGTCTTGACGAGCTATTTTGGCAGCCCAATCAGGACTTCCGTCGCTTTCTTGGTCTTGAAGTTCATACACTGATTTGACTTCAAAGCAAAGACGAGCTTAACCTTTTGTTTACTGACGGTAAATTTTGTTTCCAGGACGTTTGATACGAAAAGCATTGGCGTAGTTTATGTATCCGTAGACAAAGAGCAAAACTGTTTCTCTACTAACCATTACTTTAGTTACCAGGAAGATTGAAGCGAATGCATTGTGCAGCGGTTAATGTGTTAGCCGTTTGTCCACTGACCATAACTCCGCTCTAACAAAATTTGGGTGACGCCTAGGCTTCTGCCAACTAGTCGCTACATTCGTCTTAGTTATTGTGGGCCTGCTTGGCAACCCAATCGAAATGGGCTTCTGGTCAAAATATCCTCCTAACTTTAAAGTGTAATGAGAGTATGACAAGGGTTTGCCGAAGACTAGTAATACTGAACTTGGAAGCTGCTTTGAAGTTTGAGGCTGCTTTTCGAGCCCGGCTGAGTCGGACAGAGAGTGGCTTATTTACGTGCTCCCCGTGTCCTAGGCGGCATTTTTTGCAGAGTCGGGTCCGCATCCAAATTTTGTTGAAGTAAAGTAGTTACGTATACCGGGCTTGTAGATATCAATGTATGCGTAGCTGAAAGGATAGTTACAATTCGTCATTTTATATCGACCCTTTGTCCATACATTAATTTGAAATCTGAGTAGTATACGAATAACCGAAATAATTAAATCAATGGGGATGTTCCGAAATAATTCAACTGTAGTGGTATGCATCATCCTGTTGTGTACAGTTTTGCCGAGTTTAGGTATAATGAAATACTTACATATAATCAAAAGACGAGTAATACATGTAAGTGTTGACCTCTTCAGTGAAGGTGTATGTCCTAACTTCTGTAAACAGAATGTATATAGATCTTAGAAATAAGTGATAATGACTAAATTCGTGCACTGATATTTTCGTTAAAGACACATAATGACTCTTGTAGTGAGTATTATTTATTTTAGTTTCGTTGATAAGCTTGACTTCATTAAAATGCCAAACTCTTTATACCCATGAAATTACTCAATAGTTGCAAGCGTCGTTGTGAGGTCCTTCAGTCAAGTCTGGCTCAGGTTATCTCTCCAAACAGTGTCAAGTTTCATTTTCTGATTTATGCATGACGCAGAGCACTTTTTTTCTATATGTGTAGGGACAATCGTAAATAACATCTTCGTGCACTTTTCTGTCTTGACTAAGAGAAATTCACATGTTTAAATCCAACTTTAAATTCAAATGGCGAAATTTAATCGAATTACGGTATATCTTGTTATAGTGTCGCATCTTCATTGGTTCCAAACTCCACGGGCTAAAATTTGTTTGGCTCTCCTCCATTATATACCTACCGTACGGGTTTTAGATGATACAAATATCTCATTTAAGGATATTGATACCAATGTTCTCTGAATACAACATGTACCGGTAACGAATACTAGATTGAGTATATATACTCCCTTACTAGTAGATAAACTATAATGATCCTAATCGCATATAAGCAAAAAGCTTTCGTCCTGCTGTGTTCGAATTATTTTTTTCTTGTGCGATTTGTTTGCAATATAATCCATAGCGGGTCAGAATCCTTCTCATTTTTTATGAACTAACCGAATGCTCTGGGCTTGTGCAGTTTTCCGGTGGTGATCATATATAATTTCTAACATTTAGAAATTCTGCAATCCTTGCGATCTGGCTTGAAACTTTGCTTTCGTGAGCGATCTGGCGTGAAATAATGTCATTTATCTTGAATTGTCTATGATTTCAATTTAATGCAATATCAATTGGTAGCCCCATTTTTGAATTTGCACATAATTTTAATTTTATCTTTAATATAGTAGACAGGGTAAGCAGATTGGAACTACTTGAAGTTCTACCTTGGAATAGATCCAATGCTCAATGCAGTTTCGGGTAAATTCCTAAATTGACGTTTGACTGATCACTGATACACGTTTAATGCTCGTGACCTTTCATCAGATACAAGAACAACAAACTTGCAAAGCACACAAATCGTCTCGTTTCGAGAGGACACTTGTGTACCTATCCTCCCGCTAAGGTTTATAGATGCTTGAGTGAAGCTATCTGAAGCATGCGGTTAGCACACTTGCATCAACTCTACAGTTACAATCTAAGCGTTAGATGTAAGGCATGCATAGCAGAGCATCAATTATATATTATAAAAGACGTTACGAAGACTTGGCCTAATGAGAGCCGTCAGGTCTTATAAATGACGAGAGCAAGTCAAATGATGAGCGCAAGTTTGCTGCCTCTGCGCATACAAGAGGCGTCTGTTTGAAGCGAGCCTTGCCACGCAGAGGCGATGTAATGAGCATCATTTGAAGCTCAAGTCGGACGTTCTGCATGCTCGTTTAGCTTGGCAAAAGTTGCTCCGTAAACTAGACAATCATTTGCCGTCAAACTTTCCTTGTTCTACCCTGGCTATCTCCCTAACTTGTCGAAGATGTGTTTAAAAAATCATTTTGTGTGCTAGATACCATTTTATTATTTTATTGTACTCTCTCAACCGAAGCCTGGATTATTCGTAAACATATCTCAAATTTGCGCAATGAACTTCTCTTTGCTCATGGTGAAATCTCAACTGAACCAGCAACTCTAACCTGATAGATTTGCGTGCTCCAGCTTCCTCTGCATACATTATCAGAGGTGATGTGAATTGAATATTGTTTCAATTATGTTGTAATCATAGTGAATTTGTTGTATTTGTGCGAGGTTTCGGTTGCTTAATTCTGCCCCAAAATTTTTTGAAATATTGTTCATAGATAAGGTAACGTATCTCCAATAAAAGCATATAGTATTCGCAGTTGTCTGCTTCATTATCACGGTTTGAAATTGGATTCGTTTATCAGCTGTTTTGACATAACTTTAACATATAACCACATGCAATATTGCACGTGCCCCATGAATGTCGACTTATTCTCTCCTTTGAATTTCAGTAACGCATTAGTTATACTAAGTTTATTTGACGTGAAGGCAATGTTTGTTTAATAATATATATGTGGAACTGCACCCTCATGCAATTTGTATCCATAAATTGCAACGATAGGAGATTCATGTCGCAGATAACTCGATTTTTTGATCCAATTACATCGTGAGCAAAAAAAGGTATTTATCGGATCCTATTTCTACGCTGATGGCTGTGATAAATAATAATTATATGCTAATAATAATAATTATATGCTAATAATTGTTAATGACCATGTATTACATTTCGGAGGTTGAACCTGAAGGCATACAGGACGTTGCATCTGCGGTTTGTTATTAAATACTTAAGGAGGAAACTGGGCCGTGGAGAACTGCACGTCGCCCGACAGTTGAGTGATAGTTAGCCTCTCAGAGGCTAGTTCACTGCATATACAACCACTGCACTGAGCGAGCTGTGACCACTGCACTGAGGTGGCAATGCTTCGTACAATGTAGAATTCCTCCACC